TGCTGCTCAGTAACGGTTGAAAAGGTAGTGGGCTTTCTAATGACTGGTTCAATTGGTTGAAAGCGTGCCGCATTTCGTTGATGGCATCTCCTCTGAGCATCAGCCCAATCAACCTTCCGATAGTCAACCTGACCAGAATGCATCTTCTCAGCGTTTGAGTTGTCTGCCCAGACGGCATCAGAGCCCTCCATCTCTCCATGTTGGCCTGTTCCAGTACCCCCATATCGCAAGCCATATCCATAACCATAAGGTCCTAATCTGCCATATCGTTCGAAACAAATGTCTTCTGGTAAACCAAGAACTTCATAAGAGCCCATGATATGATCCGGGAATCCACTTGGTCGGCCTTCGTAATATTGTAGTCTTGGCGCACGCACAGTATTTTCGCCATTGAGAAAACACTCCTGGACAGGTGCATAATCGTCATTGAAAACACCGGATGTAATATTGGTATATGGTTGAAATGGTTTACTGGCCGGAAGACTGCGCACGGGTGTGACCATTTTCTCAATCGAGGTCTGATTTTGCAGAGGTAACTCATCCTCTTCGCGAGGATACTCTGGTTTGTTTTCAGAAAGCGGTACCAACGTTCTTATTCCACCGTAATATCGCGATAAAAATGGAAACGACTCCCAAAGTGGAGGCGGTGGCACTAATACATGGCCATCTTGAACCTTTTGGGTTGACAGATGGCTCATCCGAATTAAACTCAACATAAATATGACTATCGTAGATATCATGGCTAAACATAGATATCTCATGACTTTGGGAGGTAGTCTTCGACGGCTTGGTCGTTGGGTAGCTGTGTTTGCTCTTTTTCGTAATATCGGCGCATTGGAGTGGTATGAATTCGATGTCTCTCTCGAGGAGGAGGGTGATGATGGATAGGAGGAATAGTCGGAATCTTCGTCGTCGGAATCTTCATGGTGTCCATACTTCTCACTGTCATACTCTTGAGACGGCTCCTCTTGGGCAGATATACCAGAATATTGTGTGTGTCGTTTGGTAGCCTTGAGAGGGTTTAAGGAATTAAAATCCACCATGTTGGCTCAGGCCAAGATAGCCAATATGTACAATTGAAGGATGAAGCAATAGAACGTGTCTAATCCGTTGTCGCGAAATCAAAGATGGCGTCTATAGGGTGGCTACCGAGCAGTATAATTGATCAGTGGCATTTCTAAGCTGGGAAGCTTGGAAAAAGACATTCACTCACGCATTGAAGATTGATTAGCTCATGCGACGATTGTGACGGCGATGGTGATTATGATAGGATGGGATATAATTTTCAGGAATTGGAGAATATAGAATGGATGATAGGTAGGTAGGTGTGTGGTTTAGTTGACTTTGAGGGGTGAGTTGAAGTAGTATTATGTATGGTGTATGGTGTATTGTGTATTGTGTATTGTGTGTTGTGTATTGTGTTGATTGTTCTTGCGTATGAGATTATGAGCTTCGAATAAGTACAATGCAGCATAAGTTCGAGGTCCCACCCATACAGACAGCAGTACCTATGATTATCCGAAGAGAGCCACAACTATGGTAACAAAACTTTCCAAAAGCTCGTTGCACGCGGCAACCCCGATTATCCTTACTAGTTACAGGAAGGTTTAGCCAAATTGAGAGACGGTGAGAAATGATTGGACCATATTCACCCAATGATTATTAATTTCAAAGTTCATGCCTCAGCCTTGCATTAACCTCATGCCTTAGGTAGCACGTGCCTAGTAGTGAGTAGTGCATCCCGTTGTTATTCACACTCACATGCATCTTCAGACAATTCCCTACTCCAAATATAATATTTCAACCTACGAATTGCTTCGCTACAATAAATCAAAGTGAATTTCTTGAGTGTCTACCCAGGCCTTGGAATAGAGAAACTCTGGAATCTATCTGAATTCGATTTCCCTCTCTTCTCATGAATGTTTATCGCTTACACTACCTGGCCATTACACCTTGGGCTTTCAATTGAGCCTAAGTTCACACAGCATCTAACCACTAGGCATCAAAACAGAGAGTCTTTCTGTAAAACCCCAGGAGAGCTCTACTCGAGTAATATAAGACCAGTTTCTGAATAATTAAAGGTAGCGAAGATCATAATGTTTTGTATAATGACAATGATTCCTTTTTTTGTTCAGCAGTGAGTGAAACAGTCGGCCTCACCAGTTGATGATGATTATTTATTATATATAGTGAACATTGGGGTTGATCGATCAAACTTTTGACCTTCATCGCAGATGCTGTTCGGCCCAAAGGTCTGGAACTCTTCGGTCGTAACGGGTTATCATTGGACAATGCTAGTTGTTAGTGAGTGTTGGAAGCCGACACATTCGCTGCTTTTGCGGTTGAAAGTATGAATGGGGCCCGATAGTCATTTATTAGTCTCGGGAGCTTTCTTCCTTTTGCCGAGCCTGTCTCGGCCGTCTTTCTATACTCCAAAGAGCTGCGAGAAGGCGATAGCATCCAGAAGTAAGTATGCCGACAGGCTCGTACGATTAACTACCATTATCGAACGTAAAGCGAGCAATGACTCTGACGTGTTCGTTTGTGAGGAGAATATATTCTCCTGTATTTTGGATACCCAAGGAGTTGAATGTTGTGCAACGGACAATTGCATGTAACCCATAAATTGCGCTGTGACATCTTGAGAAATACCGCAGCCAACATATATGCTTGCAGCTTTTGGTAGTAATATTGAAACTGAAGCAGAGAGATGACATGGAAGAACCCTTTTTCACTCAAAAGTTGCTTTTCCACATAAGCCGATATTACATTGAAAGGGGAAAATGCATGTGAGGTCCTCCTCGCTACCCCTATTGATCCAACCTCACTACCGGTAATACCTCATCGATTATCTTTACGTATAAAGATTCTTTGTTCATGAGCTAAGAGCCTAGTTCTTCCCACATACAAATCACTCAACACCTAGCCATCGCATCGGTCCCAAGTTCCCGATTATATCGACGCATTTCACTATACCGACGTCTTTTCGCGGGAGATGATAGGAAGCGGATATACTTCTTGCATCCAGGATCTGGACCCCCAACCAATTTCAATAACCAGTACTACCGGGAAGTTGATGCCGTTACTTCACACTGGCCATACAAACACCAAACCTTCATTGTTCCTGACGAGCCAACACCGACTCATGCAAGCCGTGCATAAGCGAGTTTATATCTTGGGGATTTGCTCAGCTGATTCACCAAAACGGAGCTACGGAAGTTGTTTACAATATATCCCAAGATACTAAGAGCCACAGATATCTGGGGTACATCTGATTCATGGAGCGCCAATTCAAGAAGACTCAGAATACAGAAGCCGAAGAGAAGTATGAAACAAACGGCAGAATTCCAACATTATACGATTCAGCGATTTCTTCAAGAGAAGCCCTTAAGGTAAGCTGTGGCGAATGTTCCTCAATGCGCACAAGTAGAAGCAGCCATTCAGAGAGTGCATGAAGTAAGGAAAAGCTCCGTTCCACGTCAACTGATATGATGATCTTGGTGTTCCAATAAAATCAAGTCTGTGTCACAAGCTCCACCGCTCGTGACAAGCATGACGGTCAATACCAATATTCTTTTTGATGCGGAAACAACACTTTTCTCTGACTTCATCTGAATTGGTATTTGTGGGGGTTCCATCTATCGATTGCATCAATAACAAACAACTGTATGTTGAGTGATCTCATCTTGATTATGGCTTCGTGGCAAATCCATAGAAGTAGAAGTACCAGGTAGGCAAGTATCAATAATTTACTCCGTACAATCGATCAAGAGATATCAGTTGACAGTTGACCGATGCATCCAAGCCAATCTGTTTGAGGGGTTCTTCTAGACAATGTGGGCCCAAAGTCAATTCTCAACGTCAGCTCTTCTTGGAAGCCACTACTTTACACATTCCGCTGCACCTGCACCTTTCAATAATTATGTACCTACCCTTTCAAAATTTAAATCAAACTCTCCTTGGTGGGAAGCCATTATTCATGCTTTCTCAGGGGCAAAAACTTTAACAAACTCCTCCTTGTTCTTTCACACAGGTCATCTGTTGCTCTTCTCTAAACCCCAACCAAGTTGATTTATTGCTATTATTAACTCCAAAATAACGCTTTAGGATTTAAATCCTACGATATACTCACCAGGTCAGGTGTCGAGGAGGCCTTTAACGCGCATCTGGTCAATACACTAAAAATAGATCTAGAATTTAGTGATATATTTATAAAGAAAAAAGAATTCAATTTAGTATACAACTTTTAAGAAATTAGTAAAATAAAAAGAAAATATATAAAATTATTAATTAGAGTTCAAGGAATCGTTTGATGTAATTCTTTCTGAATTATCTCGAAAATTGAAATTCTAATCAATTTAACAATATTCTAATTAATTTAGTTATATTATCCAGATGCGCGTTAAAGGCCTTAGTACAGAGCTCAGTCTAGGAGACCAATGCAATATTAATGCGACTTTGACGCCGATTGACTGGCCATTTAAAAGACCTCACAGTTAAAAAACAGAGCATTCTGAAGTATAAATCAAAATCATATCATCACTCTAAGATCATCAAGTAATAGAGTTCATTTCATCTTCAACAATCCGTCAGCAACTCAAGCAACCGCATTCTCACCATCAGTAGGCTGATTTCGTTGATTCCTAACACATTGCTCTTCATATCTTTGAGAAGAACCTTTCTGAACTCCTTTACTTTGAATCTCTCATCGATATCCAATAAGGACCTGTACACCGTTGAGTTCTTCTTATCTGTGGTATAAGCAAAATCCTGCCTTCATCCTCACTTTCAATTCGGAATTCCTCAGATACTTCCTCGCAATTCCTCTCACTTCAGTAATACCATTTTCACTTCTGCTATTCCGCGCGTGATTATTAGATCAAATCTTCTCGAACTGCAGCTACTGCCATTGAACCACTATTACATTAAAAACTTACAGCTCATTCCATGGTCAGTCCTTCCCTCGTGATTACTATGTATCTACTAACTGTCGTCAGACCATGAGTATCTCCGCAACAACCACTGCTGTGGCGATCCAAGAACGTCACCCTACAAATGACATCACCCTAGAAGTACCAATGGGTCTTAAGCAACAAGATATCATTCAAATCACTCTTACCGGGCCAGGTCTTGTCCTCACCATCTTAGGTATCATCATCTGCATCAACCTTTTTCAGCCATCCCTAACCAGTACTATTATCGCCTTGGCACCAATACCATGGATCGTGTATAACGACTATCATAATTTCATATCTTTAGGTCCAGGAGGAACTCCCTCCACTCTACTTGGATATGTCAAAATCACTTATCTTCGCATCTTTGCTCTTTCCGATCCGTACAGCCCACCAAAAGTCTCCGAGGGTATAAATCCTCCATTTGGTTACATACAAGCCGCCCGCCTAAACCTTCCTATTCGCAGTGGCCCACGTCCCAAAGTTGCCGGTATTGCTCCCCAGAGACAAATAAGCCAGTATGGCTCTCGAGCTATGTACAAACTTCTCCGCACTAGCCTCAATAATTTCGCACACCGACGCTCGGACAAGCTCAAGACGGATGTATCCTGTTTCGAGAAGAAAGGGCTTGCGCTCTTCTCTCTCAATCCCATCAACACTACCTGCAATGGAGAAATCTGCCATGTGCACCATAGCGACAATAGTTACCATATGAACCTTCATCCGGAGGATGCAAAGATTATTCTGGAAAAGGGTTGGGGTGAAAGACATCCAATGGCTGGCGCTTCTGCACCGCAAATTGTTGCCAATATCTTATCCTACCTTCCAACATCTCTGTCTGCGTGGTTTTCGCCAAGAGTTGTACCTGAGCAATTCGTCCTGATTTATGCACCGAGGAATAAAGATGAGCTTCAAGTTGTATGTCACATTATCGAGGCGGCTGCATTCTGGGTCAGTGGCGAGCGATTGACACTTTCTATCGAGAGCGTTCCATTGATCGAAGAATCTGTTATTGTTTAACGCGAATCGCTTGTGAATTGGTTGGAGGTTGATAACTACGATCATGAATGGAGCAACGGGCTGGAGAAACGAGGTAGGAGATAGATAAAATTGAAACGGAAATGTGGTAAGAAGTAAAATGGTGGTTGAAATGGGTACACGAAAGGGGATTGATAAATTGATACAGGAGTATTGGGTCAAAGTTGGTTTTGCATACATGAAAATATACCCTTGATTGCATTCCATCGCGTTGATATTTAGCTTATTCTTATTGCTACCAATGCATGGTGCTAGCTGTCGACTCGTTTTTTCTATATACAAAAAAGGCACTTGTGAACGTTGAGTGACAATCTTGATTTTAAATTGGTATTTTAAATTCTGGCGTTTACCTGATGGTAGTACATGGTAGGAAAAAACAGTAAAGAAACCAACCCCGATCCTATGCTAGGAGAGTGAGTGTAAATAATCATTCAAATTGGCTCAACCCATGCTCCCAGAAACATGTACAAAAATCCATGATTCAAATTGACAAAAGAAAAGAAGGCATGTATGCTATCAGTGGACGAGTAAACATCTAAATTTATGGCCTTCTTGCATCACACTCCTCAAGGAACTTATATATTCCTTCCAGGCCCTCATATTCATCTGATTCAGATAGATGTTCACTGACCTTTGTGAAATATGCAGAGCCACTTTCGCTAACGTCTTCTTCCATTGTTTCGTAACCTTCGACCCAAGGATTTTCCGAAAATTCTTCAAGAATATCATCATATTCATCTTGGTTAGGAGAGGACAAGGTAGTTTGTAGACAAGGAGATAACAGATGTGAGTGTGGTTCTGATTCGGCAGTAGAAGCGAAAGGAAATAGGAGAGCCATTTGCGTTCCTACAGCGGCGTCAAATCCGGCATCTTGATGTACAATTCCTCTCTGCACGCCGACTTCATCGCAGAGACGTTCTACAGATTCAGCATCGCAGCCCGGGAATCGAACACGTAGGATGTGATTGTTCTCGAGTGTTATGGGGAGATCGCCCAAAGAAGACAGTTTTTTGAGATCGTTCATTGTTACTGCGAGGTCTTTGAGAGCGCGTGAGAAGTCGACAGACAAAATATCGAGGAAACCAGAAGTGTTGAGAGATGGGGCGGCTTGAGACATCTTTTGGGTACCGAATGGGAGTGCTCCAGCGAGAGGAGAGAGAGCAGTGACGGTGGGATTGACAGCGAAGTCGATGTAAGAGCCTGGAGTGAATTTGGAGACAGATTGGATCTTGCGAGTAGTTTCCTCTTGGAGAGAAGAAACAGCTTTGTAGCGCTTCTCGCCCATGGGAGTCATACCATCGAATTGGGCCTTTTGGCCAGAAAGGAAGAATGCTCGGACAGCTTGTGAAACATTATTGACCACTTGTGCCGGAGCAGCAGGTGTATGAGAGAAGTATCGAGCACCTGCTCTTCCACCTCCTAAGCCATAGCCTCCTGCTGTTCTAGGGAGCGCTCCACCACTCAAATTTGGTCGGAGAGTTGAGGCAAATGGAGCTCGGCTTGTAAGACGAGACACAGCGGCTGCGGTGTTTGATTTTGGGAACGAAGCACGATCATGCTTAATGGCTTGTCTACTGGTGCTCATAAAACGACGGACAGCAGCATTGACAGCACTTTGGGTAGTATACCATCGTCCCTTATTTTGACGGAGGAGGGCTGCGGGATGGATAGGATGGCGAGGTGTACTTCTCACAAAAATTGGTTGAAGTTCTGCGGTGACAGGCTTGCTCGTAACGTCTTTGATACGTAATTTAATGAGTTTCGTAGTTCGTTGAACTACGTTCCTATGAAATATGTTAGAATACTGTCTTGAATGGTTGCAATGAGGACATTGGAGTTTCTCATGAGTTTGATAGATTGTAGGAACAACTTACTTTAGCATTCTCACGGCTACAGGCGCCCAGATGCCTCCAGACGACGCCATGATGAATACTGATTTATGAAGTTAAAAGACTCTTTAATTGTTGTAAATGGTTTCGTACCACGACGTCAGGACGGATCTTATCGGGGGATGTTATCGCCACTGCTCAGCCACATCACATGCCTGGACGTGGCTTAGAGACTAATGCTTTTCTAGCTTTAGCGTCATGTCTGCGCTAGTGGTTAGCGCGAAAATAATTTTTGACCTTGAGCTTTAAAAGTTTTCCTCCTGCTTTTTTGTCTCTACAACCAACCAACATCTTCAACAACAACAACAATAATAAACATCATACCTTTTCTTTGTGTGAGAAGGTTTCCTATTTTTACTATGATTTAGTTTTCTTTACTTGGTAAGCATTTACTCCTTCCTACTCGCTTCAATTGCCTCAATGATGAACACAAACACATATTGAACAATCCAACTCTTACACCGCAATGGAGATTTGTATTTTAATCTGAGCAATCTTGATTTACATCATAAATTTGAACCACATACAGTTGAGCACACAGCTAACATTTAGTCTCAGACAGCTTCATTTGCTATTATATTCTACAAGCTGCCACAAACTTTCAATTCAAAAGGTTCGTACATTACATATCCATTCCTTATTCTTTGCGCACCGTTGGGGGTGATGATGAAAACTCATTGGAAAGGCATTCCTCAATCCGAATTATACTGTCGAATCTTTGCATTTAAGTTTCAGCCTTGTCTGACCCATCGTTCATTTACTGCATATTATTGAAACGTATCTTCTGTGCCAAAGCTAACCGCACATGGCAATAGGTACATACACTTCCTCATCATCAATTTCCTCGCATTACATGACGAACTTTGAACGAACGGGCGGACAGACTGCGCACTCCTGCTCCTATCTCCTATTAAAGCGAGGCGTACAAACCTTGTGGGAGGTGGACAGTTAGGAAGTGCTTGTTGAGAACTCGTCAGCTGATCTAATGCTCAATTGCTCTTGGATCATTTCGATACGCCGCTTGATCAAGAACATCGATGCTAACCTATCTTTAGGTAATAACTACAATTTTTTCTTCTGCTGCCACACAGGACCATTGCATTGAAATGATGAAACTTATTCACACTGTTTGAAGTGGACTATGTCCGCTACTGAACGCACTATAAAAATCTGATTTAATGAGGTATGTTTTATTCTTACATAGAATGAAGAACCAGTGCTAACGATCTTCCAGCCTGACATTTGCTTATGGTTCCTTGCATTTTGATACCATCAAAAACTTCCCCGAGTACATTCGACAATTGCTGACAATTTCGTTTCGTACACAGGTACACTTCACAACCACTTCGGCAGGTGTTTCTCTACAAAATGTAAGCTACTCCTTCACCTTCCATCCTCACATCCTTTGCTCTGATGAACCCAAATATTCGCTGTGTTCTTTCCGAGTCAACCTTTGACGAAACACATATTTCACCTTGGAGAACTGAGATAGTACTCTTGTTACTCATTCCCAACCGTACATCAACAAAGCTTGGGATTTGAAGCTAACCTACATAGACATAATGATGATTGAAGCTGGGACTTAATCTGGAGTAAAGGGAAGAGATATTACTAGATACCCAAAATACAAATTTTCTGTTCTTATTTATTGGCTTCTCCTGCTATGTGACTGTTCCGCAACCATTTCGTACGTTGTGAATGACTCTTATAATCTGCGCGACCGATCAGTTGTGACACGATACAATGTTGGATTCGGTCAACAATCAGAGAAACGTCAACAAAAAAAATAAGCTCTCTTCAATGGGCGACTTCGCGATTGGCGACTCATCGTCGAACGAAAAACCTGCATGGCAGACATGATTCATGTGGAGGGTATTGGGCTGAAAGACCCGTCTACTATTGGATTGAGGGCATGTGTTTCTTCAATGAAAAACAAGGATAAGAAAGGACACTGGTGATTGAAGTGATGTGAGAGCGGAAATAGAGTAGTAGTTATTGACCAGATCAATACCGAAGCCGTCGGTAACAACCCCCCCAGACTCAACCTACACCTTCAAACCTCCATCGCTCAATTCCCGCCAATACTCCTCTCTCGGAGCAAATACCAAATTCGGGCCATCATGATCCGCAACCGCAAGATCTAATAACTGATACTCATCTACCCTATCTCTCCCATTCATATTCCCTGGCTGTCCTTCACCGAGCTTGCCAGCTTCGCCTGATGCTTTTTCAAAATCAAAATACCACAGAGTTTTCGCGATTGCGAGACTGGTCTCATGGTAAGCCATTGCTTTGCCGAGACAGCCGGTGTCTCCTAGGGCAAATGGGGCAAATGCTGCGCGCATGGAGGCCAGGTTTTGCTCATCTTTTGGGGTGCTGTTGAGAAGGTGGGAAGTTAATTGTTGTCTATAGAAGGGGGTTAGAGGGGAAATGAGGTAGAATGAGGAGGTGGAAGTAATGGAAACGCAAAAGAGAAAGAAAAAACGATGGGCCTGGAGTCAAAATTCACATCTAAGAATCGAATCAACCTACCTAAAACTTCCTTCCTCAGATGACAACCACCTCTCCGGTCGAAATGCAAATGGCTCTGGAAAATACTCCTCATTATGCATCACACAATACGGATTGACTCCAACCATTGTACCACGTGGTATTACATGTCCATCGACCACAAAAGGCTCTGTATGATCCGAGTAAGGTTCGCGCCAAAATGTGGCTAGAAATGGTGGTGACATTCGCAATGTTTCGTCAATACAGGCTCGAAGGTATTTGCATGAGGAGAGTTGGGCTCCGCTCTTTATGTCAAGGCCGGAGGAGAAGGTGTCGCGGATTTCGGTGGCGAGAAGAGTGTAGGCGGTGGGGTGGCGGGAGAGATAGAAGAAGAGAGAGCTGAGAGCTGCGGAGAGGGTTGTGCCGCCTGTGAGGATGTATTTGGTGTTAATGATGCCCACCATGGGTAGTATGGGTTTGAAAAGACGCTCCTATCGAGCATAGGAAGGGCCATCGCAAAAGCCAAATTTAAGGGAATTCAATAGGTTCAAGAAAAGGGACTCAGGAGATCGACATAACTCACCCGCGGGAATAAAAAATACAGCTTCAGCCCATAATTCACTACGCCCAAGACTCTCTATACCTTCACCAACTTCCCCTCCTGCAATAGAATAGAAATCATGCTTTGCGTCCTGAGGAAGGGCTACGCGTTTCTGTATTATACTCTGTATTGACTTGGAAAATGCCACGCCATTCTTCTGATTAAGTCGTCTGAGAAGTGGCCATGTTTTGGACATTATTGGCCAGGCCACTGTGTGGTAGATGGTTAGTTGATTTCTTGAATCAAAAAACGACAGCTGTTGAGAGAAGGACCAGTACGTCATGTCTAGCTCTGAATTTTGAAACGTATTTCCAACCAAAGAAATCACAATCTACTCACTAAAAATACTAACAAGCCCATTCATAGAAATCATTGCCCTTGGAAACGCCCTATTTCTCTCCTCCGTTTGCGTGTCAAGCGGCTGTCCAAAAGCTAATTGTCCAGCCACATCTGTCGTAAGTCGTTCACATAACGGCGACATGTTAACAACTTCATTCTTGGTATCCAATAATAGCTTCAAGAACACGTCAATCTCCCTATTCATGGTAGGCTCAAAAGAACGCAATGAACGTTCGGAAAGAACTTTTCCATATATCTTACGTTTTTGGCGATGCCGTTCTCGTTCCAGTGTCCCAAAAATGTTGATTTGGGGGTTGAATTGGGTGTGAGCGTAGATATGGGCTTTGTTTATGGAGGGGTGGAGGTATATCGCTGGATGGGTCAATACTCATTGTTTTAAGTGGAGAGGGAGAAAGGGGGATGAATCACCTCGCAAAGCGCTGGAGGTGTTGAACACTAGACGGTTGGGAGCTTGTCTATACACGGGACCTGTTTGATGGTAGTTAGGGATGATTATCTTTCAAACAAGAGCATGTTCTGGATAGAGCACTACTGAATAGACATACCATATTTCAAGTGGTCGAAATATGTAGCGAGGTGGAGACGCTTTTTAACGGCATGATAGCCACCATAGCCATCTGTGAATTTGGCGATCAACGGGCCAGGATAGTTGTTCAATGGGTGGAGTAAAAGCTGGTAACTAAGGGCAAAAAGGATCTAGTAAAGTCAAGCGATAGATTTTAGTTAGAATCATCGTGGATGGCATACGGAGAGGTTTCCTTACCAATGACCCTATGAAACCGAGAGCATAAACTGCCGCTTCGGATGATTTGCCCAATGTATCCATGGTAGAGAATAGAGAGAACCTGAAAGGATTCTCACATTCAGGATTCGCGTTTGTTTGAAGGTTTGAAGTGAGTTCGAAGATTCTTGAAAATTCTCAGTGCTTCAACTTTTGTTCATACCTACCTGATGAAGTCAGACAGAAGAAACCGAAGTGTGGTTCATTCAGATTGACGAAAAGATGTCGATTGATTGAAGGATACGCAGCCTTGTCTGCTACCCGGAAGCTTAGGAAGAGACCCTAGGTGAATTGACCCGTGGAATAAAGGTGGGGGAGGCGTAGAATTGTTGCTGACTGCAGCTATCGGTCAGTGGTGTTGTGCTACCCCATCAGGCAACGTTGAATATGACGTGCAGTAAGGCTTGTGAATCATTCGTGATTAACTATTTGCGAATTCACGAATGATATAATATTGCCAAATTAGCATTAGCGTATTTGGCAATCTTGATTTGTTTGGCAGAGTGCCAATGACTGGTACTGTGGGAGTATGATATTAGATGTTCAGTTGGGCGATCGGCTCTCGTAGGTACGGCACAGTAGTTGCGGTCAATACCAATGTCACAGTAGTAATACAATTATCTAGATAGGCCTTTCTATTGGTCGTGAAGGTACATATTGATGACTGCATGCTATCACGAAACATTATACGATATACTGTCGGTGAATGTACTGAGTGGATGGAAAGATTGACAGGGAAGTTTGCCAAAAGTATCAGACGAGAACACCACACAGTTTATTTTTGCTCTAATATCTAGGTAATCCTTTCGTTTGCAGCATGCATGTGAGAATGTGAGGTATGTTTGAGGCTCAAATGAACCAAACTTTTAATCTTACCACAAGGCCGATTCTGGACGTTCAGTCCTTGATCATTTCTACTGGTTTTGTGGAGTTTCAATTTCTCGTATTGTATAACATTACCGGCATGATTTCTTACCAAAATTCGACTTCCATTCGGGCGTAGAAGATGCATGCTGGCAAAGAGAAATGTAAGACGGAGAAACCAACGTGACCGACGCCGCCACTTTTTTATAATTCGTTTGAATATTAACGTGTCTGAATAGATGGGAGACAGTAACGCACACAGTGTAATATCATCATTCCTTGGTTGAATGATAACCATAGTTTTCGACCTCCAAAATGCTAAATGAACGGAGGACTGGATATCTAGCATTCATTCCTTAACACCCGTAGATGTAAATCTGGGTATTTGGATCTAATCAGCATTCGACGAGGCTTTAGGTACTACTTGGATCTAGCTAATTCAAAGTTAACCTCTACTTAAGCTTTTTAGACTAGTTTAATCTCCTAGACTCGGATTCCTTCCCGCCTCCTTTTCCGAAGTGGGTTGTGGTCGTGTAATCCCCAGTGACAATTAAAATTATTTTTCGTCTTTCCGTTACACGAACTATGATAGCGGCAATGTGCATGCAGCCTTTTCCACCATTTAGGATATGCATTTATTCAGATTGTTCACATATGTGGTACAGTGTTTTGATGCGTCATTAAGGAGGTGGATGTGTGCAAGGGCAGATTGCGATACACAGCTATTACTTACTCTTGCAGAACACAATTTGGGCGTCCCTCAACTGAGGTATAAATTTCAGAGTCGCACAAGATACTAAGATTTTATTGATTGAGACTAATTAAAGAAACCAAACATTTGTTTTATGTTATTACGAAAAATACCTAGGTAGGTACGGAATCGATCCCTCTGTCTCCCAGTGATTCGTAGCAATCAACTCGATAAAAAAACTCCCTTCACAGTTGCAAATCATCCTTCTCAGTATTCCAAGAAGTTGAACCTTCTAATGAGCGTCCCATTTCGTTCAGTTATGCCCTTACTTTGCAGCCGTCGCTGAGCTCCAGATATCCTCGCACTCGTTGCTTTTTTACACATTAATGGGAGGTATTCATCCACGGGTGTTGACGCTCAACTAAGCTGTCGCCCGAGGACTTCAAAGCCGCACAATCTCGTTGTTCAACCTCAGTGGTCATAATAATTGTCCCATGTGAAGGTTGATGAGGTTTTGGTATCGGTGGTGGCTGCTCATCGAGCGAGTGCGCATCACTTTTGCGGGACTCGCTTCTGATAAGTTTCAGTTCAGTTATGCTTGTAGATTGGCCACTTTCATTTGGACCAGCTCCATGTTGCAAACCAGCACCGTTGGACCATTCGTTCCTACCTTCTCCAGACTTGGAAGGTTTTTGATTTCCTCTGGTTGATATACGAGTCCAGGAGCGTGCGTATAAAATCATACTGAATAAGGGGCCTCGCTCGGTAAATATCTTAGGAATAACAGGTAGGCAGAAGATCAGTAGCACACATGTAACCTCGGGAAGAGTCCACATCAAGATGGGAGATACGGTGTATGTCGCGTCACCATCGTATTCAATGCCAAATGTTACAGCGACTCTGCCTGCCGCACATACTATAGCCAGTACTCCAACAGAGAAGACCAAGGAGATACCAATCTTTCGTGCCATTGTCATTCGCAAAGTCCAAATTATACGTTGTGGAAGAAGCAATATAAGCAAGTCCATGATGACATTGAAGATGGCTGTGAATACACCAAGAGCTTTGCGGTCGATGCATTTACCTTTGACCCATGGCTGCCAAATGCTCTCGTGTGGGAGACACGTTATGGCGGAGCTGATAATGCTTGAATATAAAGCAAGACGTTGAGCAGAATCATTAGGTAGCTTGACCAGTAGAAGAAGGCGTGGGTACGATGAGGCGAGAATATCTGCACCCACTCAATCAATATGGCCGTCTTTGCGAAGAGTAGAGCGGCGGAATAGCTTATAGTGAGTCCAAATGTGAGGATCTATGTCGGTGAAGTCAGTGATACAATTATCTGAAAATTTGCAGCACGCAATTGGACAAACCTTGGCTATTTCAGGCATTGTTTTATAGACTATATCCCACTGATGAACATAGAATCCGCTTCTATGCAAGAAATCATAGAAGACCCAAGTCAGAAGTACGAATGCTACCTATAAAGTGCCGTCAGTAACAGCAATGAGAAAGCCAGAGGCTGAGGAAAACCTTCCACGACTTACGTATGCAATTAGACCGAGATCTCAATAGAACGAGTATATAGTCAGCAAGAAAGACATTATAAATCTAGAGTAGGTAATGCACACAATCTTGTAATTCTACCTTTTTCGTAATGAAGATTCGTGAGTATATGCGACCAAGAGTCGCTGCTGTCGAGAGGGCTAAGCAGACAGCACCAACTATGATGGCCTCACGATTTCTATTCGAAGGGTTTGTGAAGTTGGGGATAACACCCTTTGGCGGCATCAATGACGGGCCGTTCAATATTTGTTGCTGAACCGCTGCGGGCAGATTGGGAAAATCCAGAATTGCGCTCGCCATTCTCGCTCGAGTTTGCACTTTGTTGCCACTGTGTTGCTTGATTAGATGCCACGAAGAATCGAATGACAATCAGAGAATAATCGAGGAGAGCGAAGATGATCAACGCATGACGTTGGAAATTTTGATCATCAAAACGGTCATTAAGATATCATCTCATCTACCTTTGTTCAATCCGTCGTGTGGTATCACAGTCTCACCTACCAAGCACTTCAACCTCGATCTAACTGGACATTTCGCGTGTAACAGCGCCTAGTTATCACCAGAGAGGCTTTTCTCTGTGCCATTTACCCGCATCGCGGGATTTGAGCTGAACAACCATTATCTACCTAGGTAGGTATGGGAGAGTGATAGTATGACTGTATGTATGCACGTTTTTGTGTAATAAACCCTCTGGAACTTATTCCATTATTTGGGAATAGAAAAACCCTCATTTTGAAACTTCAAACGCACAACGTATAAATTTCTTTTGTCCGGGGGTTAGACACTTCAGCCGGGCTCGTGCTAATCCGTTTTCGGAATACCAATTGTTACAGTACAGAAGCCATTACAGGGACATGGAGATAACACGACATATGAGGCGAACAAACGGTTTTGTCTCTGCACGAGGTCTAGTAAAATCACCCATATTTGCATCTGATTTTGTTTCGACTCGCAAAAGCCGAATGAGTCTTTTTTAAGTTTATTGAGTATAATTTCAATCAACTTTATCTAGTTCACCGTCCAAACCACGCCATGGAAACTGGTAACATCACGGCCACAGCCTCGTCTGAGAAGACGAGCCAAATCATCGCTGGAAACGATGCCGTTCTTTCATTACCGCTGACCATCTTGGATGGTACCGAGGGAGAAGAGATTGTTTACCTACGCGGAATACGTTTTGCGATGCTCGCTGCCTTGTTCGTCCTCTCTTCATAGAATTTCCCTTACCTATCACCATCACTATCTAGTGACATCTTAATTTTTGTTCGCCGTTAATTTTAAAAGTTTAAACTGACATTAAACAATGATGAATAGGATCGGCATTATGGTTTTCATAGTAAGTGTGGAAGCAAACGTCGCTGTTACATCGTTTGTGACTATCACGCGCGATCTTGGGGGGTTTGAAACTATCAGTTGGATTCTATCTGGTTATCAGCTTGGATTTGTTGGTGAGTTAAAACTCGATTCCTATTATATCTTCAACGACCCCTTTTATATCAGTTTCAACCTACTGATTGCATCTAACTTAGCGTCCATTGCCATATCTGCTAAATTGAGTGACATATTCGGTCGCAAGCCCATCACTGCAGGGTTTCTGCTGATATTCACGGTCTTCTCGGCGGGTTGTGCTGCTTCTCAGACCATGACTGCACTGTAAGTTAGTAGACCATGTCTAAATATGTACTCTAAGCTCATATGTTTTCTAGTATTGTCGTCCGAGCATTTCAGGGTCTAGGTGGCGGTGGTTGCTACACGTTGGCCTCGATCCTTATTGTTGATTCTGCCCCACCAGAGAGGTATGGAAAGTACGTCACTGTGGCAGGTATTGCGATCGCTCTGGGGACCGTTCTTGGGCCAATTATTGGCGGATCTATCACCGAAAATACAACTTGGCGATGGATATTTTTGTTCAAGTGAGTCTTTTCAACCTTACTAGCGAGACTTTCACTAATTTTTTTTTCTTTTTGTAGTGTGCCCATCGGCGCATTAGCTCTCTTTCTAGTCTTACTTGGTATGCCTAACGGCTTTCCCTACAAGCAGCGAGGTCGCCGCCATAAATCATTCAATGCCGTATTAAGGACACTTCGGGACAAGTTAGACATTACAGGCTCAGTTTTGCTACTATTTGCAGTCTTGTCTTTCACAGCATGTTTCATGGAAGCTGATTCGCGGTTTCCTTGGAAATCTGCGTACGTTATTACGCTCTTGATTACCTCAGTTATCCTATCGATTGCTTTGTTGACCTGGGAGCGGCATGTTACGTTGACTGACAAGGTGCGTGAGCCGGTACTGCCTTGGCGGTTCTTTACAAATCGTGTAATGATTGGTATCCTACTTGTAATGATGCTTGTTGGCGCGCCTATGAGTGTCACTACCTTCCAGCTTCCTCAGCGATTTCAACTCGTCAATGGACTTTCAAGCCTCGATGCTGGAATTCGACTGCTACCATTTGGGGCTGTGTTTCCTGTTGGTTGCATGGCAGGTACTATTATTGCAGGAAAATTTAAAGTTCCAGCAATTTACTTGATATTTGTCGGATCGATATTCCAGATAATTGGCTATGCACTACTCAGCACTTTGAGTACATCTGCACATATTGAAACGGCCGTATATGGCTACCTCATCATATGTGGCTTCGGTTGTGGTTTAACATTTACAATGGCTTACATCATGGTTCCTTTTACGGCTGACCTATGTGATAAAGCGGCAGGAATGGCTTCGGCTAACCAGTTCCGGGCGATGGGAAGCGCTATAGGGCTAGCTATTGCTACATCCGTTTTCAACGGGTACACGTTGTCTCATTTTGCGGACTTGGGGATTGGCGGTTCCATGACAGATCTAATTACTGGACAGTCATCACTTCCTGAGTCTGTACGCGAAAATACTAGGCGTGTTCTGTCTGAAGGCTATAACCGTCAGATGCTTGTTCTATGTGTGATCTCGGCGGTGCAGATACCAATTGCGATGCTGATGTGGAAACGAAAACAAATTGTAACCACGTAGAACAAGATGTCAGAAATATTGGTTTTTTTATAGCTAAACCCAAAGCTGAAATGTTTAAAAAGTTTAGAATGTTTAATATCATCAACAATGCGAGTGCCTCAAAAACCGAATGTACATGTCCTTGTTTCTGTCAGAGTTAAGAAATTCCATCATGGTAAACGTTGAGAAACTTCTTAACAGCCTCAGCGGCCCCCAAAATGCAATGTGCATGTCACCATCTGTTTGCGCTTGATTGCCCCGTAAGCAAAGAGTCAGGAATAGATGGCGTGCAGGGTATCTTGGGGAACACATACTAGCTCTTACATGCGAGTAGACCATAAGGCAGAGGTCAACTAGGGGTCACAAAAACTCAGCATATGTTGTCACACTTTGACGATACTACGCCATTTTCAAAGAGAGGTATGATTTAATGAGGTTTAATCCTATAGGAGTAGAACTTGATGCATGCACTGCGCAAACCGATTTTTATGGTGTCGGCTTAAGTATGATTCCGGCGCAGTATCGTCAAGTATATCGACTTTGCTCATGATGAGAGGTTGGCATGAGAAAAATTAGGAAACACAATGACATTACGAGCATATCGATGCGACGATCATTTTCAAAATGAACATGAGGCTTAGGGGAAGAAGATAAGGATCGTCAAAAATGTATTTGAGTGTTGCCTTGTGATTATCATTTGTCTATAGAAATGCAGTGTTGCCCGAGGGTTCAACATGCAGCCTCGTTCTTTTGAGACCTACTCGTCACAACTTCCAAGCGAGACACCCTTGATCGTGCGGTCAAGGTAAAGATATCAACGTTGTGTCTCCTGGTATTTCTGTTGTTTAATTTATGTTTTCAATCATATATCTTTCTTCACCATAAGACAATCTAATTGACAAAGTGAATTTTGACGAAATACCAAACCTTGACAACATCGGAATACATTCTAGCAATGGAGCCCAGAACTTTAGACGACAGTACTATGGAACCATTTGCCATCATTGGACTATCTTTCAAGTTGCCTGGTGAGGCTACAAATGAGGCTAGCTTCTGGAAAATACTTTCAGAGCGCAAAAACCTCTCCACAGACTGGCCTAAAGACCGGTTTACTACTGGCTCAATTTTCAACAATGGAGAGGTATGTTGACATCTGGCAATTCTCAAACTTTTCTGTTGCTAGCTATTTAATCACTCACATCATGACCAGTCTCACTCCTATGGTGCTCATTTCTTCACTGAAGACCCCGGACTATTCGATGCCCCTTTTTCTCTATCACACCTAAAGAGGCTGCAGCAATGGATCCTCAGCAACGTATGGCCTTAGAAGCGGCGTATCATACTTTCGAAAATGGTGAGATCGGAATGATACAAACTCTCCTTTATTCCTTATTCATAAATAGGCATCAACTAATTTGCGATGACTACTGCAGCTGGCATACCCATCGAAAAACTTCGTGGTAGCCAAACCGCTGTGTTTGGAGCAACTATGTCGGATGATTACGCCAAGATGATGGCTAAAGATGGTGATACTGCCCCTCCGCAAGCAGTCACTGGAGGGCAACCGGGAATACTGCCCAATCGAATCAGTTGGTATTTTGACCTGCGTGGGCCTAGTGTCCACCTCGACACAGCATGTTCTAGTAGCATGGTTGCAGTTGATATGGCGTGTCAAGCGATGAGAAGTGGTAATGCCAAAGCGGTCTGTTTGCCAACTTCCTTTCCGTTCCTTTCAAGCCATGACTTTCCATAAATACTCGTTACTGACTCGCAATGGAAATTACTCAGGCTTTGGTTCTCGGTTCCAATCTGCTTCTTAGTTCGGACTCGACGATACTTCTAGAACAGGGAAAGTTCCTTTCGCCTGATAGTAAGTGCTTCAGCTTCGATGCGCGAGCTAATGGCTATGCTCGTGGTGAGGGCATAGCAGCTCTCCTACTTAAGCCGTTGCATAATGCTATACAAGATGGAGACATCATTCGAGCAGTTGTACGAGGAACTGGCTCTAACCAGGATGGTCGAACGCCGACACTTACGCAGCCTAGTGCCGAATCTCAAGAAGCTCTCATTCGCCGGGTCTATGCCCAGGCCGGATTGGGATTTGAGGACACGAGATATATCGAAGCTCATGGTAAGTGGTTATAATACTATCAGAGCACGTATGATAAGAACCACTGACAAGCTAATTATATTAGGCACGGGAACCTCAGTGGGAGATCCTATTGAGGTGTTTGCAATTGGAAGTGTGTTCAGGGAATACCGCTCGCAGGAGGAACCTCTCTTAGTGTAAGCCAACGCAGACAGTTCCCCGATGATACATTATTTGAGCTAACTATAATATGATAGAGGATCGGTGAAGGCTAATATTGGCCATCTTGAAGGGGCTAGTGGAGTCGCTGGTATCATAAAAGCAATTCTAGCGCTGGAGAAAGGAGTCATTCCACCGACTGCCCTCTTTGAGAGTATGAACCCGAAAATTGACGGAGACTTTTACAATATACAGGTAAGTTAGCTCGAATTTAATACTAATCGACAGTACTGTTTTTATATGTCCATTGACACGTTCATAAAGGTTCCTATAAAGAGTACCCTATGGCCAACATCTAATCTCCGTCGAGTTTCGGTCAATTCCTTTGGCTACGGAGGGACAAATTCCCACATTATCTTGGATGATGCCTTGCATTATCTTCAAAGTCATGGACCTACTGGCTATCATCATTGCACTGTCGCCCCTTCCATTGCCGAGGAACCCACTGTCAATGGAGCCGTAAATTCCACAACCATCAGTAACAGTAATGACTTCAATACTGGATCAACAGAGCTCAAGCTTCTGCCAATGCCGAAACTACTTATATGGAGTGCTGCGGATTCAAATGCTCTGGAGCGCATGAAACACACCTACCAAGATTATTACCAAGCTCACATCGTCGGAAGCAGCGCAAAAACTGACCAGCTGGCATATACGCTGGCAGCAAGACGATCTGCTATGCCATGGCGAACTTTTACTATAGTCGGTGGACAAAAGAATCCCGTCGACAAAGAAAAACTTGACGGCGACGTGCTTCCTCTATCCCTGGTGCCAGCAATCCGAGCGCCGACTAAAAAGCCTGTCATTTCCTTCGTCTTCACAGGACAAGGGGCGCAATATGTTGACATGGGGTTGGAGCTGTTACGTTACTCCGTTTTTGAGGAAAGTTTACGAAAATCTGATGGCATTTTGGCCAGTCTAGGAAGTGGCTGGTCAATATTCGGTAAGTCTCGCTTAATCTGAGAGCTCGTTTCCTTGTCTATGCAAGTTTTAGACAGTGTTAAGCTTACTGACACAATGTCCTACCTCATTCAGATGAGCTTCGCAATGAGCAAAACATCAACCGTCCAGAATTCAGCCAGCCGCTTTGTACCGTGCTGCAGATTGCCCTAGTCGACCTCCTTTCTAGTTTTGGTGTAACGTCCAGTGTTGTGGTTGGACATTCTAGCGGAGAAATTGCCGCTGCGTACACTACCGGCGCCATATCTCACAAATCTGCATGCAAAGTGGCATATTTTCGTGGAAAAGTAACCGAAAAGCTTCGAGCTATGACTGAAATTACAGGCGCCATGATTGCAGCTAATATTCCTGAATACGAAGTTCCTGCATATCTGGCAGAGTTAGATTTGGGATCTTGGAAAGACACAATTTGCGTTGCATGCGTAAATAGCCCTACCAATGTCACACTCTCTGGCCCTTCAGAAGCTATTGATATCTTCAAAGTTGATCTTGATCAGCGTGGTATCTTTGCTCAGAAGTTGAATACTGGTGTCGCATACCATTCTCCGGCCATGCTGACCGTTGCTGACGAATATGCCTCGCTGATGGGCTCTCTCGAATCGGACATAGCAAAAAGCCAGACTAGCCGGATTCAAATGATTAGTTCCATCACTGGCCATCTTGTTTCTTCGGAACTATTGTCAACTGCTCAGTACTGGGTTGACAACATGGTTTCGCCTGTGCGATTTACAGATGCCATAAAACTGTTAGAGAAAAAGGCTGAAGAGTCAGTTACAGGAGAACCAGAAATCATCACTGATATAGTTGAGATTGGTCCTCACCCAGCCCTGAGGAGGCCAATAAAAGATTCAATTTCATCGCCTGTACGATATCACTCTGTTTTGGAGCGTAAAAAGTCGTCACTACACACCATTTTGATCGTTTTGGGAACATTGTGGTGTCACAAATATCCTGTTTCTATATTGGCCGGAAACGTTCAAGCAGAGGGCAAATTTCCCTTCCTCGTTGATTGTCCCCCATATCCATTTGATCACAGCCGACGCTACTGGGCTGAGTCAAGGTTGAGCAAAGACTTCAGACTGAGGCCAAGCTCGCCTGGATATATGCTTGGAAGACGTAATCATGACTGGAATGCACTGAGACCACAGTGGAGAAATTGGCTAAGCACCGAAGCAATGCCTTGGCTTGGGGATCATATGGTAAGTATCCTATCAATTCTTCCTTCTCCACCTTACTTGCTCGTAGTCACTCATCACTTAAATGGCATGTAGATTTCCAACAAAATTATTTGCCCTGGGACAGGAATGGTAGTCATGGCCATCGAGGCTGTGAGACAAGAAATATCTGTAAGCCACCGTAAAGTTTCAGGGTTTCTCTTGAAGAAAACTCAATTCCTTGCTCCAATCACGGTCGGCAAGACTGTACAGACTGCTACTGAGACAGTCCTTCATTTGCATCCCATACAGAACACGTACGAAAAAGAACAAACATACTATGAAGTCAATATATTTACCTACCGCGATGAGCGATGGACACAATGTTTCCGCACCGATGTCCAAGTACAGCATGAAGAAGCCAATAAGACTCAAGTGGACGGCGGCCTGGAGAACCAACTTTGGCAAAAGCAGTTCCAACAGCGCTTTCAGGAAGCGGCCGAGTCTTGCAACGAGACTGTGGATAGAAATGCCTTCTACCGGTATTGCGATGAGCATGGCATCCATTATGGCGAGACATTTCAACTTCTACGAGAAATTGAATGGGACGGTAGTCAAAAGTCAACTGCACGAATTGATCTAACTGCATTCAAAAAACAGGATGAGATGACTGAGAGCCTTGCCCATCCAGCTGTTCTAGACGCAGGTATTCATCTCCTTCTAGTACAAATTTCGAAAGGTCTTGGTGAAAATAGTGCAACAGTTGTTCCGCAACGGATAGCAAACCTATGGATCTCGGCCAAAACGTGGAGTAGTTCAACGTCATCGTTGCGTCTGAATTCAATTCTCAATGCAGAACCTGACAGCCCTGGCAGTCTCAAAGGCTCCGTGTGGGCATTGACTGATGATAATTCACCGCTTTGTTCCGTAGAGGATGTGATTTTGACGGAAGTTTCGCAACCCAACCAGTTCAAAGATCCAGATGATCAAGTAATGATTTACAACATTGCTTGGAAACCGCAGCTGAGCTCTCTGACTGGTAAAGAGCTGCTCAAATTGTGCGATGATACTGCCCTGGTCCACGACGAGACCTTCGAAAACGAATGGACGCTGAAGGCAGAGTCCATCATGATATTAGCTACGCAAAAGGCCTTGCGGGGCTTGAAAGAAGTAGATCTCGAACGTGCTCCAAGCTATATGTGGCGGTATCTAAAATCCCTTGAGCACCTCTCCGCCACACCATCAGCTGGTGAAGCCAAATATATTAGCGACTCAGAACTTGATTTCCTTCTGGAAGAGTGCGAACTAACAAATCCAGACTGTGGGGTGTTTTTGACCATTGGACGTATGCTACCATCCATTCTACGGGGCGAACAAGATCCTCTGGAACTGATGTTCGCAACCAAGAGTGCCGAAAAGCTCTACACCTACCTCGCCAACCAGCAAATGCGCGATGGCCGCTTTGCAAAATTTCTCGACATAGCATCACACGAGAAACCCACTCTTAAAATTCTCGAGATTGGTGCAGGAACTGGAAGTATGTCTCGTCATGTCCTCGACTCTCTCAGCCGCTTTGAGAAAGAAACAGGTCAATACCGTTTCGCCAGCTATACATATACCGATATTTCACCAATGTTTTTTGAAGCTGCACAAGAGGAATTCGAAGACTTCCATGGAAGACTGCTGTATAAGACACTTGACTTGGAAAGCGACCCTATTAAACAAGGTTTTGAGCTTGAGAGTTATGATTTAGTCATTGCAGGTCTCGTTATTCATGCTACATCTAATCTAAAGGCAACTCTGGGGCGTGTAAGACAGCTGCTCAAACCTGGAGCTCACATCGCTATGCAGGAAGTAGTCGCTACGAATAGTGCTTGTGCGAATGTCACCTTCGGCTCGCTTCCGGGTTGGTGGCTCAGTACCGAAGAGTGGCGCGAATATACACCTCTCTTGACAACAGATCATTGGGGAGAGCTGTTAATCGAGACGGGATTCTCTGGGGCAGACATAGTCCTCAGGGATCATAAAAGCGACATTTGTCACCTATGCAGTATGATCATTTCGAAGAAGGTCGATACTGCAGATTCAGAAACGATCGCAGCTTCAATGTTGAATGGCGATTCGGAGCCTAAGCAGAATCGGATCCAGCTTTTTATCGATGGGAACTCTGATTCTCAACGTGTCCTAGCGGCAGAAATCCACAATCAGAACCCAAATACACAAATTTTGGAATTGGAACATCTCATAAAAGGATTGTGGTGGCCTTCGTCCAAAGACACCATTGTTTCTCTAGTGGAGTTTGACATGACACGACTAAGTTCTTTGTCTGAGCAAGAATTCCGGTCATTGAAGGAGCTTGTACAAGGCGTAGAAGCTATTTTGTGGGTTGGTTCTCTGCCATTAGCTGATGGCAAAATGATCAATCCATTTCCCGCCGTTGCGACAGGTTTCCTGCGCAGTATCCAGTCTGAGGAACCTGAGAAGCATATTGTGACTCTGATCGCCGAGTCCGGGTTTCCGAAAACGGCAGCAAAACATGTGCTCGATATCATTGACAAATGCTTTGGAGAAAAGCCCAAATCTCTCGAAATTGAGTTTGTTGTGCAAGGTGGCCATTTGACGATTGGGCGCTTGATGAAAGGAATTGAACTCGATGCCAAACGATCGGCACGCGTGAAGCCGCAACTCCGTACGGAACCATGGAAGCCTGGTCCACCAGTAGCACTCGAGGTCGGGGCTCCAGGCATGCTAGATACACTACGTTTCGCGGAAGATACTGCATATAACAACGCGTTGAGTCCGAATGAAGTTGAAATCGAGGCCGTTTCGTGGCCAGTTAGCTTTCGCGATGTATTTGTGGCACTTGGTCGGCTAGGTATGGGAGGGCTTGGTGTTGAATGCGCGGGAGTCGTCACACGGATTGGAAACGAGTGTCAGTATGACATAAAATATGGTGATCGTGTTGTGATGGTTTCAGTGGGATGCATGAAGAGTCATCCAAGGACTGAAGCTGATAGAGTCGTTAAGATCCCCAACAACTTGTCGTTCAACGAGGCTGCTGCAGCAGTTAATCCTGGTATCACGGCATACTACTCATTGATAAGTATAGCACGTCTGCAACGTGGAGAGAAAATTCTTATTCACTCCGGTGCAGGTAGCACCGGTCAAATGGCTATCGCCATAGCACAATGGCTTGGAGCAGAAGTTTTTACCACTGTTGGGTTTGATGAAAAAAAGCAACTTCTTATTGATCGATTTGGAATTCCTGATGATCATATTTTCTATAGCCGTAATACCTCATTTGCCAAAGGGATCATGCGGGTAACTAAGGGTTACGGCGTTGATGTTGTGCTTAACTCACTGTCAGGGGAAGGACTTCGTGCAAGTTGGGAATGCATCGCACCATATGGAAGGTTTGTGGAGATCGGGAAAGCGGACATCGGGGTAGATTCGTCGTTGCCTATGGGTAGCTTTGCGAGAAATACCAGCTTTGCTGCTGTTGACCTCATACATCTATCCGTTACAAATGTCAAGCTATTACGTCATCTAATAGAGAAGGTGATAACCTTGATATCTCAAGGAGATATTGGCGGGCCAGAGCCTTTGCACTTGTATCCTGCGTCTAATGTCGAAAAAGCCTTTCGGTATCTGCAAAGTGGGAAGAATACAGGCCGCATTATCATGACGGGTCGAGATGTGGATCCTGTCCCTGTAGGTCTTTCCTTCTGAAGCCGTAACCAAGATGCCTATTCACTAATAATCGAATAGAAATTTTTGACTCTCAAAAGTGACTGGAATATGAATGCTAATGCATCTTACGTCGTTGCTGGTGGATTTGGCGGTATTGGCCGCGCAATACTTCGATGGATGGCGGACAGAGGGGCTAAAAACCTCATAGTTCCCTCAACTTCGGGGACTTCATCCCAGGCAGCGGTGAACATAGTTTCAGAACTAACAAGAAGAGGCGTTCGTGTAATAACGAAAATATGTAATGTTGCATTAGAAACTGATTTGACAGCATTGCTACAAGACTGTGCCGTCAGCATGCCGCCTATCAAGGGATGCATCAACGCAGCTATGGTCCTCCAGGTATGTATCTCTCCTAATATTCCTTTCATGGGTGTTCAATACCTCCAAAACCCCTCTTCAGATTCCCTGGATCTCTCTTTCCAGTTCCTGTTGGTCATGAGACACGAGCTTACACGAAATTAGGACTCGGTATTTGAAAACATGACACATGCGCAATGGACAAAAACGATACGGTCCAAAGTCAATACAAGTTGGAATCTTCACAAACTTTTGCCTAAAGATATGGATTTCTTCATTCTTCTCTCATCCATCGCAGGCATCTATGGATCCCCCGGGCAAAGTGATTACGCAGCTGGCTGTACCTTTCAAGACGCTTTAGCAAGATCCCGATCCGCTGCTGGATATAGAGGCTCAGTTGCAATAAACCTCGGCTGGATGCGTACCATCGGCATTATTGCCGAGACAAAAGAATATCAACGTAACCGCCAAAATGTCGGTGATATGTCCCAAGTTGAAGAAGCTGATTTCTTCGCTCTGCTTGAGCATTATTGTAACCCGCTACTCCCCCCTCTCAGCACCCAGGATAGCCAAGTTCTAATTGGTGTAATAACGCAAGCACACGTTCATGCTCGGGGCGAGGCGCCGATCGATGTCTTACAACGACCTCTCTTTACTGGCTTCAGCGCTCCGCAGCTTTATGATGTGAATAAGCACAAATCTACCGTCTCAGCTCAGGAAGACCCGGCTGTCCTTTTCCGGCAAGCGGCGACCCCCCAAGACCGCAGCGTGGTGGTTGTTTCGGCCCTTAAAGCAAAGCTGGCGCGGGCATTGGATATCTCAGTGGATGATGTAGATTCTCATCGCAACTTATCAGATTATGGTACAGACTCGTTGATGGCTGTGGAGCTGCGTAATTGGATTCGGAGAGACTTTGGGGTGTCTGTCGCTATTTTTGATCTCCTTGGTGGTGCCGATATTGCGACATTAGGGGATCTGATCGCGAAGAAGTGATGGTGGGAAATAGAACTCAGAGTGAATGGATATATACAAATTACTGGCTTTGTATTTTAGATTTAGCCGAATGAAATTCTTTTCCAATGCTAACCTAGACAAGCTTCACGCCCCTTTCAGTCATCTCAAGCCGCACTATCAACACTGTCGCTCTATGATCCATTCCAGCCCCAGTGGTGAGTTTGGCGCCTTCATCTATTGCAGGTCCATCCAATCCGTACTAATTCGAAACAGCCTGAGATGGTTTATAGACTTTGATACGATCTTGACCAACAATTTGAGCTATGAGTGCGAGAAGAATAAAACTAGCATATTGGATTTTTAATCTAACAGAATAATTAGAATAATTAGAATATTGATATTCGAAATTAGTATCATAAGTTAACGGATCTATCAATTCAATGTATTTAAGATCAAGATGCTAATTGATAGACGTGCTATGACTAATGAATGAGCTGATCTTTAAAAATGTTTTAATTTTGAATAAGTTATCCAATACTAAAATATCAATCCACACCCTAACTTATTATTGTATCGTTATCGCCCACTTTACATATCACAATGGACGTCATTGAATGGTGTCAAAAATTGGTAATATCTTCCGCGCCCAATATGAGCTTAGCTGTGTCCATGCAGTCAATCTTTTGATCTATATTGACAGACATGACACCTTCCTCCTCACTCTCATGCCATTCGAATAGCCATCTTTGTATCTTTGCCATCATTCGCAGATCATCCAGAAAATTAAGGTCAATATAGCACAAAATGACATCAATACAAAAAGTTGTGCTGTCGGATATTTGAAGCTTGGATCTTCGACATATTCTATGCTATGGGTTGGAGATTCGATTCAGCGAGTGTTCGGATATTTATGAGGGCACGAGACAATGGCTCAAAGCTTTGAGCATGAAGAAGGAAATACTATAGTATATTCTTGAATGGTTGAGAGCATGTTCTTGTCTCACGGTCAAAGTTGCAAGCGTACTTATGATCAGCTTTATTCTCTACAGTCCACATAGAATACCCTGTGTAAAGCTTCAAGACTATGGGTAGATGCAGGCACTGGAAGCTCCTTAATTTTGCCAAATGTTCAGGATTGAGATGATTTGAATTTGTCAATTGTAAGATGTCCTAGAGCGTCAATTGATTTCGCCCCTTCATTCCTTCAGGTTTCGTGTGATCGCACAACTCAAGGCGCATGCCCTTGTATAAGGCAGCTTGCTGTATGAATTATAGCCCCTGTGATATGCAAATAAGCAATACGACTTCGTCGATGAGGCACAATGAACATTTTTATACACCAGCATTTCCCAATCGTATCTTGATTTTGATTCCATCGCTCTCTGGAAGCTATTTCTCACCATGAAAAAGAGCAATCTCTCATCTATCTTTTCTTGGCCTTTTTGTCGCCTTGAACTCATTTCTACACTAATTGAAAATCGGAATCAACAAGCTGAGAGACCAAAGCAAGCAATTCGATCCGGAAGATGGAAAGCGTTGTGTGGTGCGGGAATACATATACTACCTATCATATTCACCATAGTTTTATTGTTCTTGAATGCTTCTACTGTCTATGCGACTTCGATAGGCGTGGGCACTGCAAATGTAAACGCTGGACTCAATGGGCTACAATTCGCGGCCAAAATACATGAGATACTCATCGGAGCTTCCTTATCATCTATGGTTCTATCTCTTGTTCAATACATAATCTTTCAGGCTGGAGTACCAATTGGCAGTCTCTTCATTGCTTTCAGAATCACCGACCTTACATCACTCTCAAGTCCCGAGTTCTGGGCTTCTTTGACTGCTGATAGAAGCCTCGACGGACGTACGTCTCTTGGTTTTCTATGTCTTTTGACAGTATTTTCAACCATACTGGCCGCTGTTAGCGGTCCTGCATCTGCAATCTTGATGCTACCCTCTCTTGATTGGTGGAACTTCCCCTTTTCGGAAGATTCCTTTCTGCTAGATGCGGACTTCAGACTGTGGTTTCCGAATGAATCAAGTTATCCAACAGGTACATTCCGAGCAGAAACTAACATCATCGAACTATGGCCAAATCACATCGATGGCTCATATTCCCATTCCTCGGTTTGTGGTTTTAGCAATATGTTATTTACCGATAAATGTCCAGCTGGTGGCCATCCCGTCATTCAAACGTGGGCTCGCACACAGAGACCTTCTCTCGTCGGTGATTCATGGAACATTACAATGCCGATAACACTACCGTATAGCATCTATGATCCCATGGGAGCCTCCTTGACTAAAACATACAGTAGTCGTTTTATTGAAGGCACAGGGCGCCATTATAATGCCAGCGATCATTCTGGTTCTGGATACAGTGAGTACATGCCAGATTCGAACCAGTCGAGTCTTATTGATACATGGCACGAGAGAACGTGGTACATGGGCCAGACGAGTTCTGTACTCGCTACTGATGCTCTTTTAACTATTGCTGGGATACACACTACTTCTGAAAATGAAACAACCAGATTGCAAGCATTGGTCAATAATAGGAGTCCCCCAGCCCCTCAAGCATTTGCTGCTTGTTCAGGTTTTTACTACAATGTATCAAATGAGAAGGGGGGTGAATATGATTCTCTTGCAAGTTTTCAATTGCCATTCCTTGAAAAAGACACAAGCAATGGTCAATACTGGTATGCAGAACATAAGCAGGCTTTTGAATCATGGAAATCTTCTGGTGGCTGGCCACTGGCACTATGGATAGCACCACCAAATCGAAGCGCAAATTCTCCCTCAATAGGGGTGGTGACACTACAGAATTTTTCAAACAACTTATTGGAAATCGAAACGTGCTCTATCTATGCTGGCTGGCGGTCTTCTGAGCTTTTTATCGATCCCAAAACAGACCAATACATCCATTCTCCAGACCTTACGAATCCTACCAAAGACATGGACAATTGGACTAGCGCAATCAACGAATCGAGAGATTACCCTATGCGAAATGTCCAGATAGACATTGATTGGGCAAATTTTGCTTTACCTCCAAACTACACAATACTATCTATTGCGCTATCATCTACCGGATCTCAAGCAATATCATTGGGTTTAACAGTCAGCAGCCTCATACCGGACGCGATGTCAAGAATCCGTCGGTCCGGCGAGATTTCGATACCGTTAATCGCAGCTGAGGCATCGGGGCAAAAACTTGATTATGAGAAATATACATACATCACCGTCAATCGGTTTCGATATGGCTATAGCTATTCTCTTCAAGGAATCACTAGATGGCTTGCTTTATCCATTCTCCTCTTACATATCTTTCTCGCATTGGTGCACACGGTGATGATCACATGCATGGGATGGACTAGTAAAATACTGAAATCTCTGTGCGAGATTCTTGTTCTTGCCATCAACTCGTCGCCGTCTGCGGTACTGGACAATACATGTGCAGGTATCGAGCGGCTAGATACATACAAGCAGATAGTAAAAGTTAGGGAAACATCGTTCGAGCACTTAGGCTTGGTGATGAATGGAGATGAGGATAAGCATACCAAGAAGGTGATGATAGACAAGGAGTATGGAAGTCTCGGCAAGAAGGAAACTTTTCATTGTAAAGAAGATTGATCGCAAAGATCGATGACAGAGGGAATTCAATTTAGCGAAAACAATAGAAACCTAACAAAGACCTTCAACTAGCAGAAGCCCAAAGTGAGGACTAATATAATGCGAAACACTGGATATGATATGTTTCATTGGAGGTGGATCAAGCAAATGCATGTTATTAGAGTCTTGTTATGGGACTACTAGGTAGGTACATAAATAGTGAGGTATCTGTACAAGCGTAAAAGCCTGTCACCTACTTCGATATTCACAAATTCATCTCTGACTTGAATAAACACAATTCATACATGAACCATCAAACTATCCATCCTTCACCACACATCCCAGAAAAGGAAAACCTCGTCTTTTTCAACAATCGGTGCACGATCCGAATGACTTCATCCCTCTCTCATAAGCAGCAGCTACTTGTAAGGCTGTAGACAGATACCGTTCCTCAACCCCAATATGCAGTGACATCAATGATACCACATCACACTAACTTTCCACCCCCATTCAGTATTTCCAAACCATAGCATACAAAGTTATAAACACTACCATACATAATTCACGCCATCTCACACCCAAGATAACTCTCGCCATCCATCATGAATCAGAACAATGACCATAACAATAACTAAGCAGTACGGTTGAAGATAAATCTTACCGACTACCCATCTATATATACCTACTACACCCACACGACGCCATACGAACTCCCCATCAAGAATCTCACTCTCACCCCTCCTTCCACTCTCATGAAAACTCTCCAAACCCACAAGTCCAAGTCACGAACCCCCCCTCTTCATCCTTATTCCACCCTCCCATCTTGTTCGCCCACACATCTGAGAAGTCCATTATCGGGCCTTCTGATACTTCACTTCATGCCTTGACTTCATGTCCCTAACTACATACCTACTAGTAATCTACCATCTACCCACACAAAACACGCGACAAAAACGAAACCCACTGCACACAAACGCCAATCCCCAATTAAAAGCACGCGACAGATCAAAAAATGAAAGGATAAAAGGATAAAAGAATATAGCCTCATGCAGGAACGAACAAACCTTCGCGAGAGCGAAATACAATACTCGCTCACAGAGCGTGCAGAACCATCTGCAGAGGGTCGGCCCGATCAATGATGCCATGGATGAATTGTATCGATGATATTACTGCTGTGGAACACTACATGCATAGGCACATAAAGTACAAAGATCATAACAAAATAGCGATTAAATACCTTTGTTACAGATTCACAATACGAATACCTAATATCACATTGAAGAGAAGAAGAAGAAGGAAAAGCACATCACAAAGGAACAATAGTAATTGAAAAGTGCTCTTCGTTTATTCGGCCAGTGACTGAAATCTTGGTAAAGAAGAAACGTATGGTTGTAGAATCAAGGCCTTCAGCTGAGCCGCAGAACACAATGAAGCTTTCTGCCGTCCCTCCTTCCGCTCTTGTTCTTACATGCCCATTATTTCGATCAGTCCATCGATTTGGATTGTAACGCACATGTAGCCCATCCCTCACCCAGCCACATCTAACCATCAACTCTTCCCAGCTCAAATTAATATCTTATTATCCTACTCGTAATGCAATGATCCCATTGAATGTTGAGAGATATCAGGAAGTCAATTAAAGAGGAGGGAGGAGAGAAAGTCGTATGAAATAAAGGAAATACATTCTTGCAAAGTCCATCCCAGATTTACCATTTGTTCCTAAGATTACATGCATGCATGGAGATGACCAAGCAGTTGCTCGAGTACTTCATGTGTAGTAAACGATAGTTTTGAAAACTCTCCCCCCAAACCCTCGCTAGCTGTTTTGTTTTTGGATACCACCATCTTCAAAATGTGTTGCCAACCTGTCGAGAAAAGAAAAAGAAAAGGCTGCCGTCAAAAGACTTGCAAGTGATTGCAAGAACCCGTCCATCCATTCTTTAATGCATTTGGTATTGATTGCAAAGTAACATCAATGCTTCTGAGACGCCGGAGAAAGTAGATTCGTTGAAAAGGAATTGTGTGAAGATGCGCTGAATTATTTGGGGGTAGGTACGAGAGGTGCTGGAGTAGTCCATGTGCGTGTAGCAAGCTCACACAATCTTCGGATAACATTTGTGGTACCGGAACCACTTGCTTCATCCTGAACAAACTTCTTTGCCACAAGAAGCTTACTGCGGTTGTCACTTTCATCGAAATGAAGTGGAGTGTCGCTAGGTGTATACTCAGAAACACGTTGTCCCATGGCTCGAATAATGGCAATTGAGTACAAGACATCGCGATTCTCTCGGCCGTCCAAAAGATTTCTTAGGGTACCAAGAGTTTCATCAACGTCCTTGACACAATTGGGATCATCTTCTCGAAGACATACAAAGTTTGCCAGAGTGTACCAGAATTCCAGTTCCCTCAATCTGTGGTGATCTCCACTTCCTTGAACAGGAGCAGTGAGCTGGTTACTTTCAGCAACTTTACCCGTCAAAAGACATTCAAAGACTGTCAATCGATGATCCGCCTCAATTGGATCGTCCTGGGCAGGGAGCGCACTCTTAGCCTCAACCTTGGCCTCCTTTGCATCCTCTGCACCAAGCTTGACCATACAGGCCAAAGCCCAGACAACCTTTGCCTCAACACTGGCGGTGTGTGCGATTGCGATGGGATCAGACACAATGGTTTTTGAGAATTGGAGGAGTAGTGTTCCAAACTTTTCGAGTAGTGGTTTGTCGCTCATGAGTTTAGAAGCACCTTTGGCACTGAACCATTTTGATTCGAGGAAACTCTCTAGACCAGGAGAATAGATACTGTAGTAGAGATGCTTTGCTTCATCGAGTGATTGTGGATTCTGCGAAACGTCTTGCACCGTTTGATCGGCAGGTGCGGGGGGGTTGCCATACGATAGCAAATCGTCGATAGATCGTTGGGCTGGAAGAAAAGTCGTGTCAGCTGCTTCGTCTGAAAAAGATGCAACTGGAGGGGGGGAGGGGGAACCAGTACCACCTCTGAGGTGGGTAGCATCGGATACTTGGAAGGGGTACGGAATTGCACTTGGCATAATTTTTTGGTGAAGTCGGAAAGTGGGCATACCTGGAGGAGCATTGTGAAATGTGCTGACAATCGGGATTGGAGCAGCTGCTTCCAAATTTGGATCGATTGCAGATGAATAGTCATAATGTTGACCAGCACTGGGTGCGGTCAGAGCAGGATCATATGCCATTGAAGCTGGAACACCGTAACCACTCTGTAGCATCTGCGGTTGGTTTCCGTAAGGATTTGCGGTCGCGATCGATGAAGATTGCGAAGGTGCAGAGCTAGGTGCTGGTTGTATGGCAGCAGGACCTGGTTGTTGTTTGAAGATGGGATCGTAACCTAAACATTCACGTTTTGATTTTTGACAGTTTCGGCAGGCAGGATGTTGTTCGTCGCACTGATGAAATAGGTTAGCAGAATTTTCAAATAGATAGCGATGAGGATGATGATCGCGACAACGAGTGAATTTATTGATCTGCCAACGAAAACAAATTGGAAAATTGATAATCTCGCTCTACTCGTGGGTCTGGGTATCAAGGTCGCTCGTCTCGCTCGCTCATGTGCCTTCGCCTACTTAGGTGATTCGCTTGCATATAGACGAAAAGATTCCCATCGCGAAGAAACTCAACCTCAACTTCAATTCATTCTTTCGATAATGCGACGAAATTAAAACATCGAGAACTGACCTTAATTCTTCTCTTTCTGCACGTCAAACAACCCGTCTTGGTCCTACGCTTGATCTCCTGATGGAAAAATAATATGTTAGCACGATGCGATACCTCAAATGACGCGATGACACGATAACAACGACGATTTACGAATCCTACATACCTTTTTGTGTCGACCTCCGCTCATGACTCGAGAATCTACTGGAAGCGCGTATCGCATATTTGGATCAGATGTAACATTTGGATATTGGTGTTGATGGGATGGATGAGGGAGTTGATTTTGGTAGTACGGGCCGCCCATTTGCGCAACTGGTGGAGGTAAAGGTGATCCCATGTGCTGATGTTGTGCGGCTTGCTGCTGTTGTTGCTGCTGCTGCTGAAGAGGGTCCAAGGAACGCATACTTGGGAGAGAAAGGGAACCGTTGCTTCCGGTCGGACTCGCACGATATGGCTCGTTTTGGTTCCCTGGTGGCGGATAATTATATTGTGAAGTTGACAAAGAAGGTGACGGGTAGGAAGTTGGACTTGGGTAATTAACTGGTTGTCGTTGAGAACCTTGTTGAGAGCCCGACATTGATGGAGAAGAAGGCGCCGAACCGTTTTGTTGCAGATGATTTAAGTGCGGACTATTCCTATTATTGTGTTGCTGTGCCATATTAGGATTGATTATGACACGGTCGCGCTGCGTTGATTATTTTGATGTTCTTTTTTTTTTGAAACCTTATCTAACCACCGCCTTAAAATGAACCGGAAATTTTAAGTGAATAGAAATTACTCAAGTCCTTTGAATTAAATCGAGCCAGAATTATTTGATTCGATAAATTCCCTCGGCTTGCTGTACTTAGGAGTTCGTAGCGAAACTCGTTTACGGGACGAAAGCGAGCTGTAGCGGTAAGTAGGCAGGTAGGTATGGAAACGAGTTTATCTTTCGAAGAGATATGAAGTGTTGAGAGGTAAAGTACGGGTGAAGAGTTTAGAAAAAGGTGGTAAGGTTTTGTTGTGGAGAAAAGGAATCGGAAATGGATTCTGAAAGGGAGCCAGAGAGGCAGAATTAATTTGGATTGATTTGATTTGGTAGATTTGACTTGTACCTGGGAAGGAAGGCTGGTATGGTATGGTATGGTGTGGTATAGTAAAGTATTGTATTGTATTGTATGGTGGGTTGGAAGATACAATGAAATTCCTTGGGAGGGGTTTAAGGAAAAGATGGGTTAGAGAGAGTTCAAGGTAAAAGGTTAAATGGTAAGGTAGGGTAGTCTCAAGGTAGAGAATATGTCATGTCATGTAAAATGTAAGGTAAGGTAGGTAAAGTAAAGTAAAAAAGGTAGATCAGTCGGAATAAGAAGTTGCGGCTGCAAGCTGGTTTTCTAAAGCTTTTTGGATTGAAGGGAACCTGGGAGTAAATTTAATCATTTTATCATTTTATCATTTTATCTGCCCGAATTTCAAGGTATCCAGTTCAATGTTCAATTATGAATTCACTCCGTCATTCGAATTTCTCTCTCGACCTTCCATTGAATCTAGACAGACTAGCTTGAGTCTAGTACCTACCGATACTTGATTGAACAAATACTACGAGTAACGATAATGCATTTTATTTCTTCACTTCTCTACCAACTTGAAGATTATCAACACAAATAGGTACATGTTAGTCGAAAATTGTTTCTCATCTGCTTATCCATCAAGTTGGAGCTAGCAATCATCATAGAATTACTACAGCTGCACACCAAGGTACTGGCACTATCAAAAGTTTATGGCTCAGTGTTCTCTCCAAAACCATCCATCTTCCTCCTCATACTTATTGTTTTGCATAGTACCTAGCTATAGTAACTACCTACCTAGGTCATAAGAATAACTTTGAACAACCTTACTGTGTACTTGGTAGGTATTGATTGAGTAGTAGGTGTTGACTGATAAAATTCACCACTGACTCGAAATGGATATAGTGAATTTGAATCTATCCATCTCCTTTTCCTAATCCGATTACTCAAGGTCCATTTCTCCTTTTCAATTTTATTCGTAAAACTCGAACCAACAATACCTCCTCAAAACCCTCAATCTACTATCATACCATCGTTTCTGACGCATCTTACTTTACCTTACTTCATGACTGTACTACTTTACGTAGGTAGCTCGCCTTTTCCCCCCTTCATGCACGACACAACACTTACGGAACCCCTGTCGAAAGAATAGCCACTTGAATGTCCCCTTCAACTCGGATGATTACCGTTTAATTCATCTAGCTGGGTACGGCTTGACTAAAAACAAGCGATGGAAGAATTATAGAATCTTCGATGCATGTCGAGACCTTTGCGAGCTTCGCTACGAACCGACGGGGAGCGAAAAGAGAGTAGCACGCGCGAAGGCGAAGATCGTTTCTCTAATCTCTTCATGCTGATTAGGTAGAGCGTTCCCAAAGGGGCAATACATCCTTCTCAACGTGTGAAATATGGTTGCACTCATGAGCACTCTTATTACTCTGTCTCTCGCAGGCCTCTCAGAATACATATTGAGAGTAGAATGAAGATGTCGAGCTTAATTTACCAATTACACATTCTTCTGAATCTTTTCCTATGACCTTATTTAGGTCAGACATATCTTCAGAAATTATGCATGTCAGAATGCTTGCTGAGCTAATAATGAAGGATTTCCATTCTATGTACGAAGGAAGAATACCCCTGGTCCTTATTCCTAGACATAGCTAATTGGATAGCCTGAATACATAAGCCACTGCAACGTCGAAACAAACTACCTTGGAAGTTGGACCGGCTGAGAAGCGCATAAAGGAAAGGATAATATGTACAGGATATTCTCTCGTTACCACTTGCAGTCTTTCGACCTACTCCGTACATGACCAAGCTTGACGCGACCCGTTTTTCAATTTCGTCTCCGCATTATCCTCCTCCCACCCAAACTCTAATCTTAGACCCTCGTACCCGGCATTTGAGCATAAAAGGAGGTTTAGCGCACAACAAGCGTACAATCAATGCATGCCATCTCCCGCAACCCCTCAGCCTCGTGGTTCACTATAACGCAGGATGAGATTCATTCGTGATCTAACCATTGTGTATGAGATCTTCAGTTCTCTTCTCTACGGTGACATCCTATCTCGGAGCCAAGCTTTCGTTATCTACCAAAGAAGACCTCTGAAAGTATTCACATGAACAAGGTGTATACAAGGATCCTCTGACAATCTGTTTCAGCAAATATTCGAAACGGGTTATATGGGTACCTGCACCTGCACCTGCCTTACCTACATCGAAGCATGATGGTTTTCATGCTAGCTTGCTTGCTTGCTCGCTTGCTTGCCTGCTTGAATTGCTTGCTTCGCTTCTACCTCTCTTTTAACCGGGTACGACCGAGGATGCATTCATGGTTCATTGGGAGAAGAAAGGCTGAAATGAAGACATGCCTCGTGAAAGTTCAATCCTGCGGTCTGTGATGCGGATAAGATGTTAGGATGAATACATCCATCATGCATTTTTCACTACAATACTTCGATCATCCTCTGCAAGTCAAATACCCAATCGATAGAAAGATTGCCCGAAAAACAATGCCAATCCCTCCGAACTTGGCGCTCTACTCTATTTTCGGAAGCATTGCAAAAGAATGGGACGCAGTACGAAAAGCGTCACAATCATGCTGTACCTAGATATCTAAGCATCCAGGTAAACCATACAAACCCCCAACCGCGAGAAAAACATGGGACGGCGTACCAAACCCGTCAAAACCCATGCAGTACTTCTCCTGCACATCTCCCACATCTCCCACAAACAGAACGTAGGTACATACACACCTCAGCAAGCTATTCTTCTAGAATCCTTCTACGCATCGGTAGGATATCTGCATCAATCTTGTGCGATTGCCCCCCTTGCTCGTGTTACACCCATCCATGAATGATCTATCTACGTATATCCAACATATGCACCGATATCGCGTGCATTGTCGCATAGAGGAGGTACCTATGTATCACTGCACGTATCTCATCACCGGTAAACAGTATGCCATGATACCAAGTACCATCTATCCATCCATCCATCCATTCCTCTAGCACAAAAACGTTGTTCATTTTCTTTCGGGCTCTAAATAGATGGACATGCACCTCGGGGAGACAGGCAATCTTGCGTTTGTGTATTTGGTTCAACATAGCATAGGTAGCTAGGTACCTCCGAACAATAACGCCGACCCAAACCGAGATGGACAGAAAGATAGAAAGATAGAAAGATCCATTGGCATATCTACAATTTACAACCAATTGAAAAATGTGATCAACCACGTTTACCTCGGACAACGGGGTCAATAATCAGTCACAGTCAATTTACCTACTTCCAACTATTGAATTCTTGGTGCCCGAAAGCAACAAAGGCCGAAAGAGATGCGAGTACCGATAGAGTGAACAGGAAACAGTTATTGTACGTATGTGCATACATCATAAAAGAGACTGTATTGTAAGTAACATATTGTGTTTTCCTGACATGTTAACCACGTATAGAACAGACGAGCAAAACGAGCTGGAAGCCGGAAGCCGGGCCGGGATTCCAGAAAGTGATTTGGCCCAATCCGGCGCGGTGTGACCCGATGAGGATCAGATTGTTATGTGTTGTATGTAGGTACGTATTTTGTATCTTTGATAGTAGTTCAGATGGGTATTGTACAATTAGGATTATGATGTGATATGATGAGCTAGGGTATGATATGATATGATATGATTATGATACGTGTGCAAGTATATTCAATTTTGTGTGCACTCACTCATCCGTAAGCACCCTAGTCCAATCGAATTTCTTCCAACGATTTCTGAAGCCCTCCAATCTTTTATCCCCTCCTCGACTCCACCGGCCCTGTCGTTTGATAACATCAGGCTCAATATCCAACATGCCGCCGATAATTTCCCTCGCGAACAGATCCCCCTTAGGCCAGCGATTGGCGTCTTCAACTATATGTCCCAAGCCACCATCCAGGTCGAACCAAGCATGAAAATAGGGCATCTCCTTAGCGATCGATCGGCGGAAGGCTAATTTTCCAAGACCATCTCGTGCGCGTGCTGCAGTGTCGATGAGCTTCTTATGTTGTGTCCACTCTTCATCCGAAGATAGGATGGCTTCTTTGAAAAAGGCTGGCGCGGTTTCTCCTAGGCTATAGGGCAGTGGTACTGCCTGCATGGCTGCGTGCATCTTTCGGTGTGGTGTTGCGGCATTTTCGTAGAATACTACATCTCGTCCTTGATCATGATACATGCGTGTTAGACATTTCATGAAGTTTCTAATTTCCTCCCACTCATCGTCGTCACATTCAAGGAGGTTTGTCCGGTGCTGGATGGGTACAATGACGGCTCCACCATCACTCAATTCCGGCTCTGTCGGGAGTGTTAAATATACTCGTGTGGCTAGAGATACGAGTGGCGCAACGGGAGGTTGATTTTTGTCTTCATGATGACACAATTGGCAGGAGTCCAGAATGCGATTCATCTTTTGGAAATCCCCTATGGCTGTATTCCTCAAATTTATTTCGGACTTTTGCACGCGCTTCGCAAGCTTGTTGGCATTGTCGTCCATGTAGTCGAGGTCATTATCGAATTTAGCATCCTTCGCGATGCGTTCAGCCGCGCGCATGCCATCACCACCCGCTTGTCCTTTTGTCCGTCGTTCTTCACGCACCATATCTTCAATAGTCATATCTTCATTCTCTTCCACCAAGCCTCTCTCACGGCCTCTCTTATTGTCGATCGACTTCACTTCTCCACGAGTTCCCGCTAACATTCTGCTGTCCATCTTGCCCAATACTACCATACCGGGTTCTGAAGTACTTGCTAATCCGGCGGAAGCTGCAGCATTGTATTCAGCCTCCAGTCTCGCAGCGTCAGGCGATTTCTTGAGCTTTGCTTTCATCATCTGAGCCTTCAATCGATTCAGGGCCGTGGCATCGAGCTGAACAGGGGGTGCGTTTGTTTCTTCCACAATCTCCCCTTGCGGCAGATTTGCTGGCTCATCACGGTGTGGTATCGAACTTCTTCTAATCCCTAAATCTAATTTTCTCTCTTGGAATAACTCTCCGCTGGGCTTCTCTTTTCCAACATAGCCTTCCCCATATAGTCTTCGGCGGTCAAGCTCAATTTGTTCTTCTCGCGCATCATCAAATTCCCGCAGACCTCCAAATCGCGCAATTGCTATCTCATCGATGGGACTTCCACTCTGTTCCGCCTGTGTATACACTGCCTTTAGCTTCGTCATGCGCCATTGAGCTCCTGAATCTCCAAATGTGTAATTGACGTCATGTCCAGCTTCGATGTCGTCCAACTTTTTGACCCCTTCATTTAGATCTTGTAAATGCTGATTGAGTTCGTTCTTATGAATCTTCAAATCGTAATCAGGTCTGGGTGCAACCTTTGGCTCTGTGGGCTTTTTGGATCCTTTTTGTGTGTAATCGAATTCAAAAGCTGTAGGGTCCGTCATCCAAGAATCGCGAGTAGCTTTTGGTTCAGCTTCTGCTTCCTCCTCATCTGGAATCGGTAAATCTTCCTTGGGATCTGATGATTTTTCGTGCTTGCGCTTCCTTCTGTCATCATCTCCTTCCTCGTGTCTGGAATGTCTCGATCGCTTATGTCGGTGGTCGTCTCTATCTTCATCGTCATCATCTCTGGATCTGTGGTGCCGTGATCTATGATGATGTCGATGCTTCCGATCCTTGTCTTTGCGCGAGCTTCTTTCACTCTTCTCCCTCTCTAGCTTTTCCGCTGCTAAGCTTTTCTCAAATTCATCCAAGCCGTCCATTGTTGTAAAGTTTATTGATATAATGAAATTTGATGTTTTTAATGATGGTTGCCCAGTACCGGTAGCGAGAAGCATTACGGGAGCGCTACTTTAGCTAGGTACGAAATTTATTTGAAGGACCATGCATCCCACTTCGCACCCCGCCAAATTCCTCTACTTATACCTCACAAACACAAGTCGATTTTTCTTTAGCAAACAAATAAAACATCTACGATATGGCGGATTCTAAGAAACCAGAGGCTTCTAAGCCTGTTTCTATTGTGTGTGTAGGCATGGCCGGTGAGTTCATTCATGTTCATTTGTATTCGATGAATGCGCCCGCTAATTCTCCTCCGACAGGTTCTGGTAAAACTACCTTTATGCAACGAATAAACTCTCATCTACACGGCAAAAAAGAGCCTCCGTATGTTCTCAACCTGGATCCCGCTGTACGAAATGTTCCATTCGAGAGTAACATCGATATCCGCGACTCTGTCAACTATCAAGAAGTGATGAAAAGTTACAACCTTGGACCGAACGGAGGAATTCTCACATCGCTCAACCTCTTTGCCACAAAGATTGATCAGATATTGACCGTACTCGAAAAGCGCACTACTCCCGATCCCGAGAAGCCAGATGCGACTCCTATCAAACATATTTTGGTCGATACGCCAGGTCAAATTGAGGTTTTCGTTTGGAGTGCTTCAGGAAGCATCTTATTGGATTCTTTGGCTTCGACTTTCCCCACGGTTATTGCATATATCATTGATACACCAAGAACGTCATCTACGAGTACTTTTATGAGTAACATGCTGTATGCATGCAGCATTCTATACAAGACCAAACTGCCAATGATCCTGGTCTTCAACAAAACGGATGTTAAGGATGCTGAATTTGCTAAGGAATGGATGACAGACTTCGAATCATTCCAGGCTGCTCTCAGAGAAGAGGAGGAGGCAGGAAGCTTCGGTGGTCTAGAGGGAGGTGCTGGTGGATTAGGTGGTGGTAGTGGATATATGGGATCGTTGCTCAATAGCATGAGTTTGATGTTGGAAGAGTTTTACAGTCATTTGAGTGTGGTGGGCGTCAGTTCCATGACTGGTGCGGGTATTGATGAATTTTTTGAGGCTGTGTCAGAGAAGGCTGAGGAGTTTGAAAGAGATTATAAGCCAGAATTGGAACGCCGAAGAAGACAGAGGGATGCAGAGAAGGAGGAAAATCGAGGAAAGGAATTGGACAAATTGATGAAAGATATGGCAGTTTCGGGAGAGCCTTCGTCTTCTAAAGCCAAAGGTCCACCAAACGCCAAACCCTCCACCGATATGGATACACTAAGTGATATGGAGGACTCTGACGACGATCTAGCGGCCGGTGGAGATGACGATGAGGACGGTGGGGATAACATTGAAGGATTAAGTTCAAGATACAAGGCAGCTTTGGCAGATGGAGGAGGCCCATCTAATGCAGACGATCACAGCTTCACTCGGTACATTAGAGCCAGCCAAATGAATAATATGCAATAGGCGTGGAGTAGGGGCAAGATTGGCGGAATGGGAAAAGGAGTTCTAGGCTTAAGGGTTTTAGCATTTAACGGCGCATCTTTGCTGTGTGATGGCGCAAATTGATACCAAAATATAGCTTTGGGTAGAAAAAAATGTAATTCAATGTACACAATATGATTGTCCTAGTCCTCTATCGAACATACGCCGGCCATCGAGTAGTGACAATCTTTTTATACCCATGCGCCTCGAGATATGTCTCGTACCTTGACCATTACCACTCCATCAAAATTGTATCAACCATTTCCCAGACCCCTCCCAAATCTCTCCAATTTCCAATCTTCTCTCGTATCTCTCTATCCTCACATGTTCCATAACATATTCTCGTTTGCTCCTAATTTCCCCATCCATTCCGCACATTATCCCAATCATCTTGCCTCGAATTGAACCATTCTATCACCAAAGTAAGTTTCTCTTGCGCAAAATTTAACCCCCCCGCTCTTCTCGAAACAAATCCACATACCTAGAAGTTCTCTCCTTGTACAAAACACGATGACCGCACTCTTTACATCTAATCGGATCACCTCTTTTCAACATAACACTCGCATTACAATCGCCGCACAAGTACTTGATCGCAGGACCATCGCCCAAAACTCCGGATGCGCCATATGGATTGGGGGCTTGGGTGGGGTTTGTCGCTGGGACGGAGGTAGGTACTTGGTAATCGTCTGACATATTGAAGGGCTTGTTTTTGGTGTTGGGAGGTTTGTGGTAGTGGGAGTGGAGGAAGAGAGTTGTGGTGGAAGGTGTAGCGGGAAGATTTTCTTACAAAGAGAGATGGATTATTATTGAGCGGAAGGCTGAGAAATTATTGTGGGGTACGGCGGCGAGAGAAGGGGCTAGATTACTTTTGGGTTAGACAGGTACCTACGTATATCAAAACGCTAGTCTCAAGCTTCACTCGAAATATATTTTCACTTGATGTTGATGTTGGTTGATAGGATTCCCAAAATAGATGTCAAAGTGTACAGAGACCAGTTCTGTTGTGACAGAATCATGAGATTCCTGCATGAAATGCCTCTGGAATTCTCTGGTACTTATTACTTATAAGAGATAGGTGGTCCTGCCGTACTGCTGATGCGTTGTAATGGATTTACCTATTAGATACCCTTACCTATGCGCCTTCGTAATATATATTCACAGTATGGCGACCCATCTTCCATCATCTATTGACATCTCTAGATATGCCTATCCTAATGATCAACACCGATACTCTATCCTGAAATCCAACTCGAAACGAACAGCTACACCTACATCACTCTACCCAACCGAGTACCAGGCCTGGCTACATATAAAATTGCGATTTTGCGATTTTGCGACTCTGTGACTTTGTGACTTTGCGATTAATAATTAAGCTTTCTATGGCACGGACTCACTGATCCTTCACTTAAACCAATCATCCTCTTATTCCAAATCAATATCCTTGTCATTCCGCATCTAGCCCTTGCCTGAATCTACAGAGTAACAAACTCCTTCAACTTTTTCCTTCAACCTCCCTCAACTGCTTACTTTTGGCTTTTGGCTTGTGCTCGTGCTCGTGCTCGTGCTTGTGCTCTCTCATCCCACCAACCTCATGCAAGCACCAACAATTTATTATATGCAATCATATCGACAAATTTGGTAGTACTCAACCACGCAACCATGGAATAATCCAAACTTTCTCTTTTTCTATCTCTTATACACTTTGTATCCGCATTCGTTCATACTCATCAGGAATATCCTCTCTTCTATACACCATCCGGTTGTGGCGATCTCATTGTAGCCCATCTTTTTTTTTGGAATACCCTCAAACTTTTGATACGCCTTCTTCATAGTCTCCATAATCTCCATAATCTTCATACATAGATCTATAAAATCTAATTCAATAATACGTGCGTGCGCGTTAATACTTGATTCGCATATGATGCATCATGGTATGTTCTCTCTTTACAATCTATCCAAATATATCTTTCGCATTTCCTAGTAGGGCTCTGTTGCACCAACTTCCAATGTCTGAAGTTTTTTTCAATGGTTTGCAACATGCAAATCGAATCCAGGAGTCAAATCTTATCCAACTGCTGAAGATGATTCAATCAAACATTCAAATCAGGTCTAGAAGTTAACCGCTGACCTAAATTTTTCAATCAGGGTTGTTGTTTTTCCAGACCCCGCACTGAATACTCTGCCGGAGCTGGTGCTTCCTCTTCTCAAGCAATCGCATCATCTTCGCGACCTCAATCTCGATCAGGTCTAGCTAGACCATCGACGAATGCCTCCTCTAATAGCAATCCTCCTCCCCGAACCCACCACCGTATTCCCCTTGATGAACATCTGAACAAACCGCTTAAGCCCCACGTATGGATGAGTGGAAGTAAGTTGTGGACACGGCGAGAAATAGATCGAGCACGAATAGAATTCTTCGATACTCGCGTTACCGGGAGACCTGAAATATGGCAAGCTATAAGAGCTTCATTGGAAGTAATGTGGAAAGGTGGAGAGCCTGGTGAGGATGATGGGGGTCTAGCAACTGCGCAAATGATATTGAATGCGGCAGAAATTACGCTACCAGATGGAGATTTGGCAATCAGAGGGTGTTATGACAGTACAGGTGCATTATATCGTGTACCTGAACATGTTGTTTCTGATCCAGCGAATATCTTGGACGATACTACGGCAGAAGCAACAGGGAAGAGCGACGATGAAGGAGACCTGGCGGAGGAAAGTGAGGAAATCGATGAGGAAATATTAAGGAGGAGAGAAACGAAAGGGAAAGCCAAGGCGAAAGAGATGATATCAGTGAAAGCGAGGTTCCAACACGGTATTAATGGAGATATAGTGTTCAAAATTGGGAAGAACGATCCGGTGCGCTCACTTATCAAGATAATAACGCAGAGACTTGAGGTTTGTATCTCTCAAATGTTTTCTCCAACTTCCAAAGCTAATCAAGTGAACTAGATTTCTCCGCCCAAACACGTGAAAATTAATTATATGGGCAAACTCCTCAAAGAAAGCACATCATTGTCAGCACAGGGGTGGCAGGAAGGTCATATTGTTAATGCTTGGGTACTTGAGTCAGGCAAAACTACGTCAAATTGAGAGTCGTAGTGAAGTTGTATATAATAACGGCCCTCGCTCAGCACTTCCTCATCACTTCCTCTGCAAACGACATTACGAACTAACAACGGTTTTCTCGTTTTTCCTTTGGGTAATACCCCATCCATACTTGGCGTTATAGGATAGGCTTCAACGGGTGGAACGAATCTGGTTGGAATAACTTGGTTGATTCTGCCTGCGTATTCTACATTTGATCTATCAGCGTGTTGTCATTTGATTTTCTTTAAAGTTATACCCCTCCTCTTCATACAGAAATGACGTGCAAATCGCACCTACATAATTAATAAAATTCAATACTAGAACTACCCATGGTATCTAATCTTCTAGAATGGCAGAAGATATGTGAATGTTTGAGAATCCAATGTCCCAGATCAATTGAATGTTCTCGGCTGTTGAGATGTTACACTTGAAATGGATACTGAATGATTTGGAATTCAAGATAGGTTCAACATCTTATGCCTATGAATTGAACATCCTGAACAAATTAAACAAACCAATAAGTTCATATTCTCGGCCAACAGTTTGCAGGATTGACTATCTCAACTGTACCTACCAGGAGGGAGACGAGGGACTCATCGTCTAGTTACGTCCAGAGGCTTCTTTATCAAGCAAACAATATATATACCTACCCTGAGACCTCGATAATCCAGAATTAGCTATCGACAAACATATCCCGCTTTACACTCGAGATTTATATTTCTCCACATCACACTTACACTTAGGTAGCTATCACTAGCCTGTTTTTCTTCACTATCGATCGAGCTCCTTTCTATTTCTCTCTCGGCCTGAGTATCACTCATAGGTTTCTTTCTCTTCTTGAAGTAATAGCAAAGGGTGGCTTTATGTGTATACATATATCATGAAGCAAACGCGGTTTGGTTCGATTTTTAGATTCAGCTGCGTGTGAACAAGGATTGAATGAATGGCCCCAAAGTCATCCATGGCCTTCAACAAAGAAGCTAGTCTCATAGCAAGGTCTATTTACGGCTTGCTCCTTGCTCCAATTCGCTAGTTCTTTGGACAGAATACCCAGTAACCATCAGAGCTATGTCATCCGTATCCTTCTCAAACCTACAAGGTGAAAGTATAAGGTGAAGAAAGGATTTAATATGTATATATTGTCACGGCGCCAACTACATGCTCTATAATTACCTTTATATCTCAGGAATTGATCACTAATATATCCTACTCCTTATAAGTAGGACCTCTCTCTTTCATAGCCCTTCTACTCTTATAGTACAATATAAGTCTTTACCTATATCATGACATATATATGTATATGAAGAAAAACACAAAAGAGAGAGAATCTATTAATATTTTCCGAGGCTTTCTAGCTTCCTATAGGTTTAGGGCTAAACGACTTTACTTGGTATACTAAAGTATTAGAAGTTTATAGTCTAATTCGATTTAGCTAATTCTATCAAGATGAAAAGCTCTACTACAAAATATAGTTTTTTATAATATAAAGTAGATTTCTAGTTTTTATAGTTTTCGATTTAGTAAAGTATTAATTGTAGTTAAACGTCTTTATTGTAATAACGTAGTGTAGTATCTAGTATTAGTACTAATTTCCGCCTCGTTCTCAATAACGATAAATCTATATATCTTAATAGTTTTCGGTCTTATTTAACTTTGTTTAAAATGTTAACCAACTAGAGACCTCTCAATTCGTTATTTCCCCTGGTTTCACGATTCTTTTAGTAAAAGCTACTTCAAAGAAGATATTAGTTGGAGTAGAACACAGAAGTGTTACGGACATCGATATAGGATCGATATCGGGCCAACCATTTATCCGATACAGAGTTTTTATACCATATATAGCTTCACTTTCGAAAGAATTTGAAGGAATTAATGAAACATCTTATGGTTTTACTATACCTATATTTATATTGATCATCACCTTGCATTCACTCTAACAAGAAGACGTAGAACCTAAATGTAGGGTCTAATTGTCAATATATATTCAGTCTAATAAGCTAGCTAACTACAAATAGAATAGCCTTTATATAAGGGCTGTTGAAAGAGCTAGCCTTCGCTTTCGCTTAAATAGGACTACAAATGCCTTTGACTTGAACCTATGTTCACACAGAAGAAATCTATTTACTGAAATTCTATATATATTTAATAATCATAATCTATTAATCGAATGGCTCTCTATATAGATGTAAGATTATATAATCAATATGGAGTACATTTTTCCTTGGTTTGCTTCTACGAATCCATAAAATAATTGTAAGAATTCGCAAGGGTAAGTAAGATATATATTATCGAGAGAGAATTCAATGAAATTTCAATCTTCTGCTGCAATGCTTTCAGAATTTATATATGTGACATGCGTAGTCACCCAAAATGATCTTGTTATTTACATCAATTTAAAGAATGACATTCATCGTAAAACGCTTACAATGTAAGCTGAAGTTTTCGGCTCAAGTTTTTGGGCGGGCTGTTCTGGTGGAACGGAGTGGGGTGAAAAGATAAGATTAAGATCGGAGCGGAGGGAGGAAAAAGCTTGTCTCGACAAAGACCCCTCCCTCCCTCTACTCCACCAGAAGAAAAAAAATCCTTCTTTCTTCTCCTTCTCT